GAGAGAGAGATATGAGAGACATGAGAGAGATGAGAGAGAGAGAGAGAGAGAGAGAGAGAGAGAGAGAGAGAGAGAGAGAGAGAGAGAGAGAGAGAGAGAGAGAGAGAGAGAGAGAGAGAGAGAGAGAGAGAGACTAGAGGGCGAGGGAGGAGCAGTGAGCCCCCTCGCTTTCGCCTTCCACGATCGACGACGCGATGCCATCGCTGAGGGATGGCCGAACGGAGGGGCAGGAGGGAAGGAACGAAGAGGGAGGGCGGAGAGATGGAGGATGGAGGGAGGGAAGGGGGGAGGGAAGGGGGAACGGATGCCGGCGCCTCGGGCGCGCCCCTCCTTCCCTCCCCTCCTGACTCCTCTCCCATCCCTCCCTCCATCCTTGCCTCCCTTCCACTATTTCTAGTGGCCCCCCTGCCCGGTGCACCGGCAGTCGGCGGCGCCGCAGGGATCGGGAAGGCGGCCTTCGCCTCCTTGCCCGCGCCCGCGGCGGCGGGCTCGGCGCCCCTCGAGCCGACGGTGCCCTCGAGGTGCTTGCCAGCCGACTCGTCCGCGGGGGCGCCGACCTTGGCCCGCTTCGGAGTCCTCTCATCAGACTCGTCACCGGAGTGGATCTCAATGGGATCCCAGAGCTCGCAATTCATGGTCTTGTCGATCAGCGCGTCCATGCGATCACCCTCCTTGTATTCGGACTCGTAGAGGATGGACCTGGCCACCTCCGTCGCCTCCTCCTCGGGGGAAGCGAGTTTCACTTCCCTGGGAGCGTCCGAGGTATCCTGAGGGCGCCTCGGGTCTCCTAGAAGCCGTTCAAGTCCCAGAAGACTGGAGGAAAGCTTCTAGGAGACTTGAGGTGCCCTCAGGATACCTGGGGGGGCTCTCAAGGAAATCAATGTCACTGGAACGCATCCCAAACGGATTGCTCCCTGGTATCCATGGACACGTCGGTTCTGGTGCCGATGATCTCGAGGGCAAACTTGCGCACCTTCTCCTCGTCGATGATGATCGTCACCAGCTCGCCGTCAGCCAGCTGGACCTCGCGCGTGCACTCGGCCCGCGGATCCTCGACGATCGCGATGTTGGCCGCCGGCTCCGCATCATCAGGCATGCCCTCCTCCCAGCTGTCCGACGGCTGGGCGTCCGTCGGCTCGCGCTTCTTCCGAGTCATGGGCGGCTTGCAGATCGACTTCAGCTGGGCCAGCACAGGATCCTTCTCGGCGTTGCGCAGCAGGGGGTGGCGCGAGGGGGGCGTCTCTCCAAGCAGGCAGGGTGCTTTTTGAACGGTCCGGAGGCTTCGAAGATGGCTTCTATGTTAAGGCGGGGGGACTTCTCAGAAACCAACTGGCTCCTCATGGAGCCACCCCCATCGAGCCGCCGCTCCCGTCGCCTCTACGCCGCCAACCTTCGAGGCCGCGCGGTTGTCCCGCAGCTTGTGCACGTAGGCGATCATGGCGTGCAGCGCGCTGCCCTCGAAGAGGGCCCAGTTGCTGAGGACGTCCTCCTTGCCGTCGGCCGGCGCCTCGCCGCTCAGGCTCCAGTCGCAGGACTGCGGCGGAGGAGTGAACATCAAAAAAAAATCCTCTCCCCTCCTCCTCCTCCTCCTCCTCCTCCTCCTCCTCCTCCGCCTCCTCCTCCTCATCCTCCTCCTCCTCCTCCTCCTCCTCCTACTCCTCCTCCTGCTCCTCCTCCTTCCTCCCCCTCCTCCTCCCCCATCCTCCTCCCAGCCCCTTCCTCGCCCCCATTCGCTCTTCTGATTCCCGTCCGTTCTCCGTGATCTTGCGGCCTCTCCTCCTTCGCCCTTCGCCCCGCCCCCCCTTTCCCTTTCCCGCCCCCTTCACTTCCCCGCCCTCCCCCAATTCACATGGGCAGCCCTTCTCTGTCGACTTGAGGTTCGGTCGACCCTCGACTCCGATCGACCCTCGAATTCGATCGAGGCCTCGATTCCGACGCTCGACTTCGATCGAAGTCGAGCGTCGGAATCGAGGCCTCGATAGAAGGCGACGGCCGATCGAACTCGATTGGTCGAAATTGAGGCCCGATCGGGGCCTTGTCGATATTGTGCATGGCGCGCGCGTACTGCAGCATGCCGCGGCGTTCCCAGACCGTCGCCAGGATGCCCTCGAGGCTCTTGCTGTGGTACCTCAGGTCGTCAGCACACACCTCGGCACAAGCGCCCCTCCTCCTTCCCCCCCACATGCCCCTCCTCCTCTTCCGCCCCCTCCTCTCCTTCAGCCACAGTTATCCTCCTCCTCCTCCTCCTTCTCCTCCTCATTCCCCTCCTCCTCTCCCGCCTCTCCCCCCCTTCAGCCTCAATTATCCTCCTCCTCCTCCTCATCCTTCCCCCGTAGCCTCCTCACATTGCGCCTCCACCCTTTTTGCCTCATCCTCTTCCGTGCCCTCCCCCGTCCTTTTCTTCTTCCTCCTCTTCATCACCCCATTCCTCCCCCTCCTCCTCCTCCTCCTCCTCCACCTCTTCCTCCTCCTCCTCCTACTCCTCCTCCTCCTACTCCCCCTCCTCCTCCTATTCCTCCTCCCCCTCCTGCTCCTCCTCCTCTTCCACCTCCTCCTCCTCCTCCTCATTCTTCTCCTCATTCGGAGCGTCCCCTGGAACCTTGATGACCTCCTTCGGGTCTGGAAGGGCGGCGACCTTGCGGTCGTGGGCGAGGCTGAACCAGACGCGCGTCCTTCGGGAGGGGGGCGCAAGGAAGAGGAGGAGGATGGGAGGAGGAGGAGGACAAGGAAATGTAGAATATGAAAAGGAAAGGAGGAGGCGGAGGGGGAGGAGGAGGAGTAGGAGTAGAAGGAAGAGGAGGAGGAGGAGGATAAGGAGGATAAATATGATACGGAGGGAAAGGAAAAATGAGGAGGGGAAGGAGGATAAGGACAGGAGGATGAGGATAAGGAAAGGTAAGGAGGAGGCGGAACAGGAGGAGAAGAAGCAGGATAAGGAGGATATGAGGATCTGGAGGATAAGGAAAAGAGAGGAGGAGAAGGAGAATAAGGGACGGAGGATGAGGATAAGGAAAGGCGAAGAGAAGAAGGAGGACCACGAGGAACAACGAGGAGGAGAAGGAGGAGGAGGATGAGGAAAGGAAGAATCCTGTCGACGTGCTCGATCGACTCCGGCGTCGTCGTCGACATGATGGCATTGAAGAGTTGATCGGCCATCGCGCGCGGTGTCCACGCGCGGCGCGTCACCTCCTCCAGGATCTGAAAACCCTCGAGGACGGACGGCGGCGGAGGAGAAGGAGGAGAACGAGCAACAGCAGGAGGGGGGGGGTGGAGGAGGAGGAGGAGGAGGAGGAGGAGGAGGAGGAGGAGGAGGAGGGGGGGGGAGGGAGAAGGAGAGAGGAGGAAATCAGGGAATAGGGAAGTTTTGGTTTGTTTGTTGCAAGCAGTCCTGGCGGGATACAGGCAGCCCTCCTCCCGCATGTCGCTGCGCCACGCGTGCCTGGGATGGGGGGGCAGGGCGAGGCGAACAAAAAACAACGTAACAGAAACTTGAACCGAAAAACATCAGGGGCCCGTGCGGGCACGAAACCAGCGGCTCCGCCCAGATCATCAGGATCGCGAACGGGTCGCGGCGGCCGTCGAAGCGAGGGTGATGCAACGGGACGAGCCACACCTCCGGCACCCTGCCGCGACCGTGGGGGGGCTCCCACGCCTGGAAGTGCCAGCCAGATGGCGGCTGCCGACGCGGCACGGGCAGCTCCATATAGCCAGGAGCCCACCATGGCAGCCGCGCCTCCTGCGCCCGCGGCGGCAGTCTCGGGTGGGGCGGTGCGATGGGGTCCCCGCGAAAGTGATCGCCCAGGTCCAGCCCCTCAAAAAAGGAATTGGATTGCTGCCCCGGGCGCTCCCCGCGGGGGGGCGTGCGCCCCGCGGGGGGAGACGGCGCTCGCGGCGCCGAAAACCAGAGGGCAGAGCGGAAGGCTAAGGGGACGCCTGGGCCGCTCCAGTCCATCTGCTCGAGCCCGGAGGAAGGGTGGAGGGGGGGGAAGGAGGAGGGTGGCGAGGAGGAAGGAGAGCGGCGAGGAGGGAGGCTTTCTCCTCGGGTTTGGGCCCACCTTGAGTTTTGGGAGGGGGGGGGGAGAGGGAGGCGGAGGAGGGATGCCCATCCTCCGAAGGTTTCGGGCCCATCTTGGGCGCGTCTGGACCAGAATCCCACGAGCCCTTTGGGCGACAGGTGGTCTAACGAGGGTCGCTTTCCTCTTCCACAACCCCTGCTTCCCCTTCGGGAAGGGGTTCACCCCTCCCCCTATGCCCCCTCCCCTGGACCTGGACGGGGGGAGGCTGCGACGCGTTGAAGGGTACTTTTTTCTGCCCCTGGGAGCGTCACGAGGGAACATAAGGGAACCCCCATCCTCCCAACATGGCAACATAAGGGAACCCCCTCCTCCCAACATGGCCCCAAGAGGCCCTCCAAGGCTCCCAAGAGGCCCCCAAGAGGGCCCAAAGAGCGCCCCAAGAAGCCACAGGAGGCCTCCAAGAGGCACCCGAGAGGCCCTCTGGAGACCCCCGAGCGGCCTCAGAAAACCCAAGATGATTTCCCAGATGGCTCAGATAGTCCAAGCTGGCTCAAGATAGCTCCCAAAATGATCCAAACGGCCCCAACACCGCTCCAACACTGCTCGAGATGACCGCGGAGCCTCCCAAGCCCCCTCGTTGTTTGACTATGGGTGCTTCTTCCTCTCTCCCCCCGCCAGCTCTCGCGGGCATCGTTTATGGATGGGCTGGTGGGGACTCGCGAAGCGTCACGAATTTCGACGCGGATCCAGCCGTGTACGAGGACGCCTCAGGAGGCTCAAAAACATGGTTTACATTTCCTATCACCAGTGAACGATCCTCGGGGCGGCACTCCCGCTCCCGCTCTCGTTCCCGCTCTCTCTCTCTCTCTCTCTCTCTCTCTCTCTCTCTCTCTCTCTCTCTCTCTCTCTCTCTCTCTCCTCTTCCTCCCCCGCTTCCTCCTCATCCTCCTCCTCGGGGCTGTTTTTTTTCTCCCCGCGCCGTGGATTTCGAGGCAGATCTATCCGTGGCCACGAGGCCGCCTCGCAGGAGACGTATTCAAAAACAAACAAAAAACATAAACCCATGCACCTCGATCATCAGCGGTGGCGGGAAGTGAGTTTTTCTAGAGCGAGGAGGTGAGTTTTTTTTCTGGAGCGGGAGGTGAGTTTTTCTCGGTCAGGGGGGCAGAGGAGGTGAGTTTTCTCTAGGGCCTTGACTCGCACGAATTATCAGCCCTGGGGCCGCCTATATCAGCTAGAAACAGAGGCGACGCGGACCCGAGGGGCCCGCAGAGACCCCCCGCCAATCAAGCGCGGCACCGCCGAGCCAGTGCCCCGCTTAATTCGACAACGCTCCCGCGGCACAATTCATTGGTTTAGTGTATAAGTATGTACCATTTGTTACACGAAGTTGTTTTAATTATGCTTCTCTTGTGTTAGTCATTGGGCTCCGGCAGGTTTGAAAAATTAATCATCGACAGACACTTGGGAGCCTCTGGGTATATAGTGGTGAGCCTGACGCGCCTCGTCGGCGTGCCTAGCGTGCCTGGTCGGTGCGCCTGGCGCGCCTGGCGTGCCTGGCCGGTGCGCCTGGTGTGACTGGCGTAGTGCTTGGTCGGCGCGCCTGGCGCGCCTGCTCGGCGTTCCAGGCGCGCCTGGTCGGCGCGCCGGCTTCGTCGTCGTTGTCGGGCGCCGGAGTGATCAGGTATTTCATGCGCCTGTTCTCTGGCGCTGAACTTGTCGCGATTACTCCCGCCCGCTCCGTCAGTCGCCGACGCGCGAAATCCGGCGGCGCAGAAACTCTGGCTGCCGCGACCCGGCTGAAGCCCGGGGGCTCGCCGCGCCCGCAGCGAGTCTGCGACTCCAGATACGCGGCGGCGGAGAAGCCCCGAGGAGATGGCAAAGGACGAGGACGGGGTGAACAAACATACGTATATTTTGAATATATATATATATAGAGAGAGAGAGAGAGGGAGAAAAAAAGAAAGAGAGAGAGAGAGAGAGAGAGAAAGAGACGGGGGTGAACATACATATATAGAGGGTGAAAGAGAAAGAACAAACAAGAAGAGATACATATACATTTCCGACCCTTATCCGGGGAGGGCGCGCGCGAAGCGTACAGGAATAAAAACACGGTGGGGGACCCCCTTGACTTTGTTCAAAGGTGAGATGCGGTCATGACCGCATCATGCAAGCTTGCGCAGGCCAATGCCTCGCCAGGGGGAGCGATGAGTGGCCCGCGCGCTCAACAACGTTGCATGGTGACCACCGCGGGTGGGTGGGAGCGCAGCGGGGCCAAAATTTAACAGAGATAATCGAGACGAGACTGGATGAGAGACCTGGCATTCCGAAAACCATCCAGCAAGATCCATGTATTTCAGAACGTCACCTACAACCAACTCTCCGACCCTTATCAGGGGAGGGCGCACGCGAAGCGTACAGGAATAAAGACACGGTGGGGGACCCCCTTGACTTTGTTCAAAGGTGAGATGCGGTTATGACCATATCATGCAAGCTTGCGCAGGCCAATGCCTCGCCACCGCCCCCTGTCCAGCGATAGCGTCGAAACAAAAATCAGAAAAGAAAAGAAGGTCCAAGCGCACGGCGCCGAACCCCAACGCGTCTGCGGCCTTCTGGAGCCAGCGCTGGAGCCGAGGATACGAGATCGGACACATCTTCTGCCCCGCCTTGGCGGGGTAACGCAACATGTAGTGGTCCAACCAGTTGACGGTGGACGGCTCCTCGAACAGGACCTTCTGCCCGGCCCCTCTCTTGGCGCGGCCGAGCAGCGCCGCGTAGCCAGAGGCGGTCCTGATCCAGGTCGGGCCGCGCAGCGAGAGTGCCTCGGACGCCCGCAGGAGGCCCGTGAAGCACAGCAGCACGGCGGCCGCGCAGCCACACTCCCCTGCCAAGACGAGCCAGTTCACGATGCCCAGCACCAGCACCGCTGGCAGTGCGGGCGCCTGCAGAGGCGGCCTGCGGGTGCGCCAGACATCCAGCGCCTTCCAGGCCGCGCGGTAGTGGTGCCGAGGGTTCGCCTCTGCGAAGGCAGCCAGCAGAGTCGAGGCCGTTCCGAGCCCCTCCACCCCGCCAGTCTCCTCGCACAGGTCCACCACACGTTCGGCCAGGAACCAGTCGAGCTGCTCCTCAGAGAGCTCGTGGATGCCGTAGCCCAGCGCCTCCAGGTCAGAGCTGAAAGCGCACAGCGCGGCGGCGTACCTGTCGGTCGTCACGGGCTTCAGCGCGCTCATCAAGAAGGTAATGATGCGCCCGCGGCGCCTGCCATGGTCGTCGGCCATGGCTCTGGTCTTGTTGATGGATGAGGAGCGCGCCGACCGCCAAGCGAGCAAGAGCCCGGCACAGCCGCGGCGGATAACGAGCCAGCTGAGCGGTGACGAAGCGTCCCCCAGGGGTCAGGCCATAGATACCCTTATGGCGGTGTGGATGATTGCAGCGAAGCCCCAAGACATCAACGGCTCTGGCGTCATTGGTGACGACGGACGTGGGCTTCTGGGACATCGAACCATGCCGACACTGATCGAACGAGACGACGTGCAACCCGAACTCCGAGATCCACTCCACCACCTCCTGAGCATTCCAGAATGACGGGAAGGGGTGACGGCCTGGATCCTGAGGGTGCCCCTGCCCTGCCCAGCCCCCTCTGAGGTGAACTCTGGTGAACAACTCGAGGCAGAGGAGGAAGAGGTGCGTTCCCAGCGCACAGGCTCGGCGCTCGGACTCTGACAGTCCAGGCAGTGGCAAGAGAGGCTCGTCTCGAGAGCGCAGCGGGCGTGGGCCGCGGCACAGGGCGCGATGCCTGGCGCGGCTGACGGTCGAGCAGGGCGACCCCGCGAAGGAGCCCATCACGTCGCCGCTGCTGCACAGGCCCCTCAGCTCGCGCACCAGCGCGGGCGACGTGAGGTCGTGGGCGGGGTCCACCACGGGGTCGTAGGCCAGCGCCTTCACCACCAGGCCAGCCTCCCGCGCCTCCTGCCCGACCATCTCGCACAGGTCGCCCTCGCGCCTCAGCCCAGAGCAGAAGTGCAGGAAGAGCCTCTCGCGGGACGCCCAGCCTCGCGGCGCCAGCGGGATCACCTCCTGGCGGGGCAGCGGCTGGGGCGGCTTGCCCCTGCCGCTGCGTGCCTGGCGTGATCCATGCCAGCCGCTGGGCTCGTCGGCGGGGTTCTTGCTCGTCGAGATCCAGAAGTGGAAGTGCGAGAACCCCCCTGCCAGCTCGATGGCCGCCCCGCGGCGGCAACGCCGATTGAGCCTGCGGCTGGCACTGCGTCCCTTGATGAAGGCGCCCTCGCAGGGGGCGTTGTCACCAGCATGCAGCACTCGCTGCCCCAGCTCCGCGGGTCGATGCAGTCGGGCCTCCATTCCCCACAGCTTGGCGTGCGCCTCCTCCAGCGTGATGTGCTCAACGCCGCCTGGCCTGCCCACCTTGAACCAGTGCCCCACTGGCGGCAGGGTGACGCGGGCCAGACTGCAGCGGCCCTCGACGTCCACGTCGACGCCGAAGCCGTCGCCGAGCGTGGTGTAGGGCGCACGGTGGTCGGCCCACCTGGCGATGTGCTGCGCCGAGTCCAGCGGCAGCGTCGCCCGGGCCCGACCATGTCCACCTGGCGCGGCATCCGTGCACTCCACGCGGGGACACCAGTCCGCATCCAGGTCCTGCTCCGCGAACGGCAGCAGGATGGCCGACACCAGCAACTCGTGCCACACGGATGGGCACCACGCC